AGTACGGCGGGCAACTCGTTTTATTTTCATTGTCGTCACTGTCGTTTTCACATCTGCTCGCTCATTAGCCTGTATTAATATATTTATTTATCCTGTAATTTTTTTGCCTTTTACTCTCCTACTAGCGCCTGTGTATTTTTCGGCTTTATTTGTAGTTCTGGTCGAGTACGCAGTGGGTTCAAAATGTGATTTTTTAAAGGGGGGGTGTATATGAGAGAGTGGGTTTGCTATCATTGTGACAATTTGTCCCTATGCGTGAGTAAGAACTTATGTAAAAATTGGATCGCAAATCGAAATCGGTCTCCGTTGTCAGAGAACCCTCCACTATACTGTGATCATAGACTAGATCTTGCCAGGAACGCTGGTCAACCACTTTTTAAACCGGTGGTGTAACGTATAGGCGCGTCGCTGTCACACGTAGAGGAAGTTAATTCGAACCCATGTGGGGAGGATTCTTTTAATCAAGTATATTCATCTGTCTCCTTGTATGGTGTAGCTACGGGTGTCCTTGTACTAGCTCGTGTACCTTTGTTATATTCGAGCACCGGAGTTCAAAACCTACGAGTATTTCGGTAATTACTCGAACAGTTATTTCTTGCCAAGTTGTTTTTTTAATAAGAGAAAGAATATAACATTCAAAACAGAGAAAAAGAAATAAAAGACCCCCCTCTTTCCTCTCTCTCTCTCTCTCTCTCTCTCTCTCTCTCTCTCTCTCTCTCTCTCTCTTGTATGCCTTTCCCGTCTCATTAGTGCGAACCAACTAGGTCACTCATTACCCCACAAACATGAACAAACACAAGATGTAAACGATCCCAACAACCTGAGATTGGCATAATTATATTAATAAGTATGCCAAGAACTAGTCCTAGAGGAAAAAAACAGTAACAATCATGCTCCTAGCAAAAATACTCATCGTTTTATCGAAATTTGACGTTAGTTCAAATGGAGTGTTGATTTAGGATAGAAAGTACAAGTATATTACCTTAGTGGAACAAAGTAACCTCACGCTGCTTTACGTCAAACGATCGCAAGAGATGAAAACTTTCAACATTATCGTCGCAATGATTGCGCAAAATCAGCAAGACAAAAATTCAGTGCGATCTAAGGGGAACATTTGACACGCAACGAAAGTCTAGTTGTGTCGTTGTGAAGGTCGGCCTCGGTCACCGCGCACACGCCGAGATAACGATTCTGATTTCATTCTTATAATAGTCGCGAGGCGATTATTTTAAAAAGAAGAAGAAAGAGAGGAAAGAAAGAGAGACCAAGTTTGAAAAAGTAGATCTAAACTTCAGTCGAGACAACGTAAAGTGGCTTAGTGAAAAGTCTACGGCAGACAGTGAAGCAACGTAGCGAGCGACAGACAGAAGGTGTGAACTGCCAAAGGCTAGGCTAGAAGTAGTACGATATGGATTTCACGTGGAGTACTTCGCTTCACTTGAATTTGATATGCATTTTCACCGTTTGCTGTGGTTTTGGTGAGTATTCAGGCGTACTGAAGTTAGCAATAATTTCTCAGTGCTTGTCAAAAATGCGCCAGCGAGTACATATTATTATATTATTACTGCCTTCTATGATATTCTGGATTAGACGGGCTTAATAAAAACACCTTCCAAATGACTATTGCGTTAAGATCGAAATCCTGGAGAGTACATGTAGTGGGACTTGTTTCGTTTTTGGGTTTTTTCTGTTCTAATAAATCCATACATAGGATGTGGTGTTTAGCTCTTTTTCCTAAAATTGAAGCCAACTTTGGCAAGATGTTTGTTTTTTGTTAACTAAACTAATGAAACTAATTACAAAGTATTAGACTTCCTTGTTATCGATTAAAACACTGTTGTGTTCCGACAAAAGCAATGGCTTGATTTCCGTTTTGTTTTTTACGATCTGCGCCGCAACTTTGATCCTATTTCTAGGGTCTAATTTTATTCTTGAATTTGATAGATCGTGTGATTAGTTTAAAAGAATTTTTTCTGATCTGTGTGTTTGAGATTTGTCAGATATAGTAGAATAAATGTAAGATTTAGCAACAAAGATTTATTTACTCACGTACCACTTATTATAGCACTGGGCAATCTAATGAATCATAAATATCTCTTACCTTACATTTAAACTTTTTAAGCGAATTTTTCGCTTTTTTTCGTGCAACATTTCTGTGTAACACATGCTTGAGAAAGTTTATTGACATTCTTTAGCTTTGAGTGTGGTCTCAATCAACTTCTATCATTCGAAGAGAGAATTTATGGGCTATTTAAGTGATCAATGTAAAGAGTTCTGAGGGTTGACTAGGAAAATAACAGGCATTTCACTCAGGGGCGAACAATAAAAGCTCTAACCTTTGTCAGTCTGTTCTGTGTTGATAGGTGTATGCCAATCCGTTTTGTAATTAGATTAGGAAACAAACAAAACCTGTGTGTATGCCAAGGATTAAACAAAAATGTGTTATGTTTTCACCAGTTGTGTGCTATGTTTTCACCAGTTGTGTGTTATGTTTTCACCA